CCCTGCTGGGTGCCCCCCCCCTTTTCCCGGAGCTGCGGTTCCCGCTCGCTGCCGCCGGGGGGCAGCATTGAACTTCCCGAGTCCCGGCACTGGGAGCACTGGGAGATGCTGGGCACCCTCCTGGGTGCTCCCCCCCTGCCAGTTCGGGGGGGGGGGGTACCTTGGGTAGGAGAGGAGAAGGAGGACAAGTGGGGTGTTGTGTGGGGGTCTTTGCTGGGTGTCAGGGTGGCATCCCGCACCCTGCGGTGTCCTGCTGGGACCTGCCCAGTTTGGGGACCACGGCCCTTCGGAGGATGCGGTGGCATCAGCTTGGAGGGGAGACCTTGTCCCCAAATTCTCGGGGTGATCCTTGTCAGCACCCCAATAACTGCCATGTGCGGTTCTCCCCCCCCATTAGCTCCAACCCTGGCAGCTGCGGACGCTGCAGCCGTAGCTAATAAGGGAGAAACTCGGCTCTTGTGCATCTTGGCTTTTCCTTGATGTGTTAAGAATCAGTTTTTCTGGCTGCTTCATTGCCGTCTGGAAAGTCTCTTCCCCCTGTTGATCACATGGTTTGAAGTATAACTTTCTCTTAAAGATGTCTGATTCTTCCAAAAAAAATCATCTTCCCTGGCAGAGGATGCCATACATAAAATCATCTATTGCTTGTGCATTGCTTTCCAGTAGTTTGAAATCTCCCAGGCATGTAGGCAGTTGTTTTTCTTTTTATTTTTGTCCTGGAAAGCAAACCACGGCAGAGAGAAGGGAAGGGACTTGGCTGTGGTGATACCGGTGGGTGCTGCTTTGTCCAGTAAACGATGCTGCCCGCTGTGGGGAGGATTTGGGGGATAAGCAGAGCCAGACCCTTGCCTGGCTCTGCTGGGGGGATGCAGGCTTTGCACTTTGAACCTGAAAACAAGAGCAGACGAGTGAACCTGCCGAGGCTGGGCTTGGGAGCTGGCTACGTGTGTCGCTTGTGCACTTTTATTTTGGGATGGGATGCCAGCTGTGGCACTGGGGGGTGGGCAGGTCCCCGGGGAGCCCGTCGCCGTGGGGTCTGCAGCTCCTGCTGGCATCAGGGCTGGCTGATGGCTCATCTCCGCTGGCGGATTTGGCACCGTTTCTTTCCAAGACAACTCGGCACATCTTGCGCTGAGGCGGCATCTGAGGACACGGGCCTCGCCGCTTCCCTTGGTTTGCGTTTATTCTCTCCCCTGGCCTTCGCCAGAAACACCTCCCCAGCTCCACAGCCGGGAGGCTACCAGCTTTTGCAGCGTGCAAACTGGTGATTTCAACTGGGGCAAGGGGCTGGATGGCCTTAAATTGGTTGCAGAGAACTGGCTCCAAATTACCTTGGGCTTTCTCTATAGGAATATATATGTATTTCTCACTCCTGAACCTATAAGGATGCTTTGGGAATAATCTTTTTCCCAAAAAAATCACCCCAAAGTGAGTGGTAACAAGAGTTGCCTCATTCTGTGCTGGGGCCCGAGGTGCGCACAGGCAACAGGATTGCTTTTTATTGTTTATGATGGGATTTCTAAGGTCAGGAAACTGGATTATTTTTTTATTCCCAAGTGAGAATGGGAAACCTCACTTTGCTAAAGTTATCTCCACCTATACATGACGCTTCTCAGCACAGCAGGGTGCTAAGGCCCTGCCGAGGCTCGGGGATCTCGTGGATGGAGTGGTGAGAGATGGGCTGGGTAAAGGGCTGGCTATACTTTTTCTGTCAAAATCGGTGGCAGAAATACTCAGGGTTTGAGTATGAAAACTTGTGTAGGAAGTGTCTGCTTTCTGTGGAACACTTTGTCTCTTCAAGAAAAACAACCACCAAAAAAGCCAAATGCGGAGTGTTTGTTTTTATCTCCAGAAATATTTATCAGTTTTCTGAGCAGGGGGGACGGGATATTTCCCATCCTTGTTCCAGATACTGGTAACGGGTCTGGCAGGGGCCACATTTCACCCTGTCTGTGCCCAAGGTCTCTGCTCGCAGCCTCGATGCTCCTTGGTGAAGGCGATGTCAATGTGTTTGTGGGTGAAGGTCCTTAAAGTGTGGCGGCATCTTGCAAAGCTGAGCTTTGATAGGCATCTACCGCTGCTTGGCCTGGGGGACTTTAATACATCATCTGGTGTGTGTTTATAGGGTTTTTAATATCCATTGATGCTTATCCACTTCAGGCACTGGGGCATTGCAGCCTGGCAGCCAGCTTTATCAAACATCACTCTTACTTCCCCAAAGACCCATTTTTGACTACTTTGGTGCAACAAAGGCAGCCGTTAGATCTGGCTGCTATCGCTGCAAGCAGGCAAAGGAATAAGAGATGCATTGCCAGACACAGGAGGCCGGAGACTGATGGTTTGGGTACCCTGGAAACCCTTTAAGTGCTCAGCACAGATATGCAAACCTGCTGCATGCATGGCTTGGGCACGTGGGGAGCATCTGTCCCCCAGCCCTGTGCTGGAGCAGAGCAGCAAGTTGGTCCATCCTGGTGTTGCGGAGGTCTGGGTGGGTGTGGGATGCCGCCCTGCAATGCTGAGGATGCTCGGTCCTTGCTGGGAGACCCCTCTGAGCATCAGATAACTTGGTCTGCAGACATCCCGTGCAGCCTTTGCATACCAAATGCAGCCGTTAAAGTATCTGTCGGCATCTTCCCAAAAACCCTGGCAGAGGAGCTGCTGCCAGGCCCTTTCCCAGGCTGAGGAGGAAGCAGGAGCAGTGGAGAACATCTGGAAAGATGGGAAATGCACCCTCCTTGTCCTGCCTCAATATTGCTTTGCTCAACCAAAAATAAATTGGAAAAGAAAATTGGACATTGCATCAATTTGGGGCAAGTTTATAAATTCTGCAGCTAAGCAATCCCAATAGAAAATGATAGATCGCCAGTGAGCACGCAGCCCCTGCCGTGATGTATAGTCGCATTAGCCGAAACGCCGTTACATGATTCTGTTTTATTACCACTGTTGGTGGCAGACAGAAAAACAGATTACGCTTGAGATCAAATCGATAGGAACTTTATTTACTGGCCTTTTAAAAACATATTTCTGCACTTTATAAAAACATACGGTAGATGCTATTGATAGAACTTGTCTGCTTGTTAAAAAGCAATTTACCTGCCGCGATGTTCTCAAGTTGCAGTTTACGGCACTACCTTTTACCTGCTCTTCCAGATTCATTTTCATCACAGGGTTTGACAACTTCCTTTAGAAGTTTTTTCAGGCTGTGCCATTGCCCCTTTAGGCTGGGGGTAAGGGGTAGGACTTGCTCTCTAGCCGAGGGGCTGGATGTCTCAAAGTGCTTTTCTCAGGGTTCCTACCCCAAACTGAACTTTTTTTAAACTTAAATGGTTTTTGTAAGAACCCTCTCCTGTCCAAACCAGTCTGAGAAGACAGCTTGCGCATCTATGAGCTACAGCTTCTTTCTGCAGCTGTACAGCTCGCCACCTTTCCTCTGCTCTTTTAAGAATTGTACATTTTCATAGTATCTTATTTAAAACCATCCCCACGGCAGAATGAGCTGGAGCTGAAAAGACAGCTGGAAAAGCCCCCCCAGCCATGCAAACCATGATGCCTTCACGGGTCACATCAGGCTTAATGCAGCAGTGGCCGCGTGTGCTCTTTGTGCCTAAACCTGTAACCAGCACCTTGGGGTCCACTTGCTGGTTACGCCGTGGCCTTGGCCCTGACTCTTCCCCCTTTTGTGAACACTTGGTGGCCTGGTTGGGGACAGCCCTGATTTATAAAGGCTTCTGTGCTCTAGGGTCTGGGGCTCGTTATTTGGAAAATTACTTGTATGAGGAAATTCATTAGCTTTTAACAAAAGGAGGAGAAGGTCTGCTTAATCTCCTAATTGGGATGTGCTCTAGTTGTGTCAGGCGGTGATTTGCAGCTGGCTGCAAGAGAGGGCTTTTGAGTGGCACTCAGGTTAAATTCAAGACTCATTAAAGAAGATGGTTTTACGCAGAAGATTCCTGACAGTTTGTGTATCCTCGTTGGCTCGTGGAACTGTCTGGGGTTAAGGAGCCACCAGTATGTTTTTTTCTCAGTCCTGTCTGGGCTACTTAAAAAACAATGGCCCAACATTCCTTCCTGATGCTGTCAGCCAGATATTATGGGGATTAGCCCAAGCCCCTGGTGATGAACCCCTCCCTTTTGCCCTGCTGGAGCTGATGCTGGTTTGGGTTCCCATGCCCTGGGACCGCGCCGTGGCATACCAGCATCCCTGACTTCAGAGCACTGCCAGCCCAGCGGCTCCCCAGCGCCTGGGCTCGTCCCGGTTTTGCAGCGACTTCTGAGCAGAGGGGTTGGTGCAAGGCC